GACCTCTCCTGACCCTCCTGCTGCTCCCCTCAGCAGTGTACTTAGTCAATTGGCCTGTTCTGCCCTCCACTCTGTCTCTTGTGAATCCTCTCACCCTCTGTATCTTTGGCCTGTACCCCAGTTCTGTATGCATAAATAAATCAATCTTTAAAAAAAAACAATTAAGCCATTTGAATTAAATTTTTTAAAAAAGGTATAATTCAGGCTAAATGCCTCAATGGAAATAATTTCTTTCTTCCATGAGTTTATGTATCTCTTTAGTGAAGCTTCTGTTACTAATCTTGTTATCACTAACATCAACTGATGATTTACAAATCTTTCTTTCCTGTTTCCCTGGATTCCAGAAGATTGTCTCCCTCTCCTGTATAATGTTGCCCCTCCATAGAATACATTTTCTGAGTTATATGCTGAATGAGTTAACAAAGAACAAATTCATTTGCAAACATAAATAGCTTATATATGTGTGTGTGTGTGTCATACACATACATATATACATACATACATATATAGACATATATATAGAGATGAAGACTTCCTTTTTGAGTTTTGCTTGTCCTCTGATCTGGGCCATAACCATAATCCTTGGGTAGGGAACCAGGGGTTCACTTTTTTGTTGTGTTCTTTTCCACTAAGATATAGTGAGGACCCTTTATCCCTTCCATCTCCTGAGACAAAATTCCTCTCCTTAATCCTGGAGGGTTATGGAGCCAACTTTTAAGACCTTTAACACTGCCCCAGGGCACTGTAACTAGCCCAGACTAGCTCCCAACCTATGGGGTTTTTAACAGTTGGCCAGATGCTTTGTGTGCCTGGCATTTTCTAGATACTTCTAAAGAGGTAGTCTTAATTCAAGCATGTTTCTTGGGTGAATCTGTAACAGGGCATGGGGAAAGGGGCACCACTGAAGCCCCAAACCTGCCTGCTTTAAATGGGTTCTGCCATCCGCCGCATCAAGACAAAACATATAAAACTTTAATGAAAAGGGACTTTAATACAGTGAGTATACAATACAGAAGACAAAGAATATAATGTCTAAAACAAACACCTGAAGTTACCCATCCCCTCGTGGGCAACCCAAAAGAGATTGGCCCAAAGAAAGACCTGAAAGCCCGCCTCATGACTAAAGCACCTACTGGCCAGGACCCATAGAAAAAGGTCAGAAATGGCCAGACAAGTCTGGGAGGAAAAGAGCAAAATCAAATCAAGATAAACACTGCCGTAGTCACCTCCCTACAGGTATCACACCCACATCACCCACATCTGCCTTAACCAGTCCAGGGTCAAGAAACAAGCACGGTTTCTTCCTCACATGCTTGCTGCTCCATGTGGCTTCCTCAGGTCTCCTGGCTCTCCATGCTGCTTCCTTCTTCTTTCTCTCCTTTTTCTCTGCTCAGCTCCACCCTCCTTCTGGGTGGGGCAGGGAACCTGGAACTTCCCCTTTTCCTAAAGACCACCCTGTTACAAATCTAAATAATATTTTACAAACTCAAGAATACAAGAAATATAACTTGAGCTACATTTTATACCTTCATTCTCTTGGTAGAACATAACCCCAAAGAATTAGGTACCCATCCTGCCCTGTTACTGTTTGCTTTTAGATTTTGGAGTGTCTTACATATATGCAGGCATAATGAGCGTGGGAGGCCACCTGCATTCTCTCTTCAGCTCACATCATTATTCCATCTTACTCCTACAAGTTGCCCCGGGGTATTATTTGCTCCAATCTATAAGAAACCTCCATGTCCATTAGTGTTCTCTTCTTTTCCTGTAGGGCCCTTGGGAACAAATTACAGACCCTCATAACAGACAGATTATTCCAGATCTACCTGCAAGATGAATACCCACCTCTTGCTACTTTCATTCCTTTATGGGCTGTGGAATTATTCTGCTGCTCCTATACCAACTCTGTGAAATCATCCTGCAGTCACTGTTTCCTAGGGTCTTGCCTCATTCCCAGCTCCTGTCAGTTCTTGGGGCACACGTCTACCACTCTGAGACTCCATAGACATCTCTGGGTGTCTGTTCCAGGGTTCATTTTTTACTAGATATCAGATATCAATCCATACATTCTTCATTTCCTCTCCAACATTTTCGCTTCCCTTCTTCCACCGGCTATTTCAGAGAATCTTTTTCTGTTCTGCAAGACTTCTTATTCTTTAAGCAATCTTCTATTTAATGTCATAGGATAGAGGTTTTTAAGAAGTTAAAAGCTACTTGTTTCTTTGCTACTTGTTATCAATCATATCCTTTTTCTGAAGTAACAACTACACACTTAACTACTGACTTTATTTGCTGGGTAGTAATGCTGTAAGAGAGAGTGAGAAGAACTAAGGAAAACACTGGATACTAGAGAAATTGTTTGATGATACAATTTTATCATGCCGCATAACATCACATTGACTTGTGAGTATTATCCCATACTGAATAGGACTCAGAATAGCTTCCTGGGTCCATATTAGACCTAATCAACATCTTAGGCCCTTCTGTTTCCTTCAGCCCCATCATGGTTTCAGGGATCAACTTCAGAAGTGATTACTTATTCTCTAACCTTTTCTTTTCTTCTCTTCACAAGAGTATAATAGTACCAACCTGCAAAATTATAGTCAGACTTCAATAACATACACTAGCACAAGAGTATTCAGACAATGGTTAACTATTATTAATAATAAGTGGCTGATGACAAATGACTGATTATCTTCATTTTCAAATTTTGGAACAGTCTGAATATTTTCTGAACAAGAACTAACGTTCATTTTCTAACTTATCAATACTATTCCAAACAATAGCACAATTTTATTTTAACATCTTCCTGGGTATTAAAATAACTCATCCACCCTTTTCTTACTGCTTGTCTTTTTTTTCTATATAACTAAACTGTCTCTTTTCCAGTCAGCACTTCTGTCCCCACACCATGTGGTCAATATTGTAAGCAAGGCCAGTAGCTGTTGAGAAGCTCTATTAATGCAAGTATCATAAGCGAACACAGCAAAGGTGTTCTGGGGAAGTATGGGCAAATAAAACAAGTCTGTATATACTTTCTGTACTTTGTCTTTATCCTATGTATAAGGATAAAGTACATAAAGAAAACCCAAAATAAATTATCTGTAAGATAATCTCTCATCTGTCTTGTAAAGACAATTCACTTATATTTTTCCTATAGTTGAAGAAACCCCTATCGCTTGTAAATATTCAATCCATTCTTTAATTAAAAAAGAAAATCCAGAAAGTAACAGTCCCAACTTCCATTTCTTTGTTCATCTTTGATCATTTCACACCTGTCAAACTACTTGTCTTGTGAGTAATAGAACAAAGTCAGTGTGATGTCTGTGTTCTCAACTGATAATGCTATTGGCAAGGATTTATTGTGTGAATTCTGTAAATCTTAATGAATACAGTGACTCTCAGCTCTGCACTGGTAGGTTTCAGTATTCCCCCAAGAGACTGGTGCTTTCCAACAAAACACAAATAATGATGGTCTTTTCCCAATTCACCAAAACCTTAAATTGGGGTATGGAACCTTCTGCATGTGTGCACATGCCTGTGAGTATGTATGTGCATAGACATGCATTTGTTTCCTATCATATCAAGAACATAAACCATTGATACCAATAGATATTTCCTATTTTAAAGAAGGGCACTCTTACTGTCCAACTGTTCTTTCCCAGGTCTGAGAGCCATCTGGACAGATACACTATTTAAGTTTGTGCACCTGTGCTAGGAAAATTTCCAATTACTCTAACATTTCTTGGTCTCTCTAGTTTGACTAGTCACTGGCTCCCAGACTGCTCCCAAATCTGTTCCTTTGAAACAAAGGCATTAATTCTTGCAGGAAGTTCAGTTGCATATGTGCTTAATGGAAGAGCTTGGGTAAGAAGTGGAGAAGGGGACTAAATTCTGCAGGGTTCTCTGCTGGGTGATGACTTGTGTCTTTTCTTCCTGCTTAGGGCTACAGCTGACTCTGCCTCTTCCTTTGCATGCTCATTCTTTTCTCCTACTATCAAAAGAATCACACACATATACATGCACTTTAAAGCACTTTTAAAGAAGGGTAAACTCAATTCTTACTTCTTTTTTATTTCCATGTAAATAAAGTATTCTTGCACTTGTAGTATGTTATCGGAATTGTAATGTGTTGACCTAGGAAAAAAGATAAGGACTGAAACCTGGAATTCACAGGTTCTAGATTTGAACCCGAGAGCTATCCTTATCATTGACATGAGTAAGTTCATTTAATTTCTAAGCCTTTTTGATAGTGGTACAGATCATATTGTTCCCATGTGCCTCTCAGAAGAGATGAAGAGAGATCTCATATATGAAAAGGCTTGTAACCTCAAAAGTGTACAATAATCTGTACCCCCATGTTTAGTGCTGCTTTATTTACAATTGGAAAAACATGGAAGCAGCCCAAATGCCCAAAAGTAGATGACTGGATTAAAAAGATGGTACATATATACAATGGAATATTACTCAGCAACCAAAAAGAGAAACACATGTCTTTTGCAGCAACTTGGATGGAGCTGGAAAAGATCATGCTTAGTGAGATAAGCCAGAAAGAGAAAGAAAAATACCGGATGGTTTCACTCATAGCAGGAGTATAATGGACCAGGCGAGAAAATAACAAAAATAATGAACAACCATATACCAGAGACATTTTGTGGGGGTGGAGTGGGGAATGGGATCGAAAACGGGGGTGGGGGGGTTGGGAAGGGAAATGCACGGGATTATGGTGATGGCACAGGGGTGACTTGGTGATGGGAAACCGGCGGGTATTACAATTGAGATGGGAAAAAATACAAAAAGATGTAAAAATAAACTTTTGTAAAATAAAAAAAAAGTGTACAATAAATTTAATTTGGTGTTGTATTAAGAGTCCAGTGAATCCTCAAATACTGTAGCAGTTGTAGGAATTCAAAACCCAGAAGTGGTGGGTGTGGCACCCTCTGATGATACAGAGTTGACTCCTGGTCTCCTTTACACTCCCTTTCCACCCCCATCTGCAGAGTAACCTGATACACTACCTGGGACTGACTCATCACCTGCTTGCTCTGAATTTTATCATCGTTTCTTTCGGCAACAAAAACGCATGGTCCACGGCTCAGGTGAAGGTGACCGACACTGACTTTGATGGCGTGGAAGTCAGAGTGTTTGAAGGCACCCCCAAACCCGAAGAGCCTCTGAAACGCAGCATTGTTTACATCCACGGAGGAGGCTGGGCTTTGGCAAGTGCAAGTATGTCTTGGTCACCTGCCCATTGTTTGAGGTTGTGATTGACCCTGGGAGAGATGTGTGATTGCTTAAGCTTGGCATCTTTTTTAAAAAATAACATTTATTTATTTATACATAGAGAACTGGGGTACAGGCTCAGAGGTGCAGGGGCGGTGAGAGGATTCACCAGAGATAGAGTGGGGAGCAGAACAGGTAGCTCGATGAAGTGCACTGCTGAGGGAGCAGTGGGCTAGACAGGAGAGGGCTGGGGATTGAAGTCTGGCTAAAACAGCTGCAGCTAGCTGACAGTGCATAGCCCTAACCCACTAGGCCACCAGGGAGGGCCCAGCTTGGCGTTCTTACTAGGTTCTTCCTAGGTAAGGAAAGGGCGCTTTTAACTCCGTTTCTGGGACAGTTTGAATTACTCCTGTTGTCCCTGTATAGTTATTCATAGTGGTCCTGTTTTAACTCTTGAAAGGATCCTGTTTTGGATGATTAACTATTTGGTTACCCTCCAGTTTTTTTGCCTGTTGTTAATTCAGGCAGACCTTTACAAAACATTTCCTGGGACCTAAATCTTTAATTGTGTAGGAAAACCACCATTAGGGTGGTTTTCTGTACCAAAACAAGGTAAATTTCATTGGGTTAGAATATGAGGGAATTATCTGTGGTTCTTATGTCAGTGAAGACATCTTTCTATGAAATAGAACAAAGATGTAAATAAACATTTAAACACAGGTAAATTCATCAACAGTTCATCTGCTTATGAAACCAAAATTGACAGTTTAAAATGTATGTCATCATTTAAATAAAATAATTTTGAGGGCCCTCCCTGGTGGCGCAGCGGGTTAAAGCACAGCACTAGAAGCTAAAGCCACTTGAGTTCTGAGTTCCAACCCTGCCCAGGAGGTGATCCACAAGGAATGGCAGACCTCTCCTGACCTGCCCGTTGCCCCTCCCCTCAGCAGTGTGCTTAGTCAGGGGGCCTGTTCTGCTCCCACTCTGTCTCTGGTGAAGACCCTCGCAGCCCCTGCACCTCTGGCCTCTACCCCAGTTCTGAATGTGTAAGTAAATAAATCTTTTTAAAAAATGATTTTGCAAAGTTTGAGAGTATTCTTGTTAGCTTTTGATAACTAACGTGAGTGGAATGCATTCAAAATGGCCGACAGCCAACAGGAGCCACCCAGGCTAAATTCCTCCCCTAGAGGAAGTAAGAGCCTCTTCTCGCTGGGAATTATCATGGAAATACTCATATTCAGCCCACAGAATTTGGCATCCCCTATGTTTAAAGATAAGGATAATTAAAATATTTTAATACAGCTAAGACTGACAAGTATAACATTTTGTAGTAATTCTGTTTCCTCAGAACTCTTTCAGTATAAATCTTAAATAATTGCACTCTGATCTGGACCTTTGGTCACCCTAATGTGTGCTAGGTGATGACGACATAAAATAAAGGACAAAATCACCACCCTAGAAAAGACTGAGTGTGTAGCAGTGGGTTGCCATCATGCAAGACACTGCATTGGAGACCAGGAAGTATAGGCGCCAGAAATGGTGTGGATTGTAAAAATTAATCTGAACTTTCACACAATTTTGATGGATTATTCTTGCCAGAGGAAGAGCTTAGACAGAAAATATGCAGATGATTATGTTGTTATTCAAATTCTACTTTTAAGACTGCCTTAGGAAATAAGATAATACTTGGCTTTCTATTGCTAAAACTGAGCTTTCAGTTTATTAAAAGAACAACTAAGGTATTGTATTTTTACATATTAAAATTACTGTCACTGTAAAACTTTGGTCCCTCCTTCTACGATATACTAAGACTTCCTAAATTCTAATTTGTTATATGATAGTTTAAATAGAATGCAAATATTCTGCAAATAGGTAGCTTTTCTAATTCATAGTATATGAGGGTATTAAGAGAGAAAATGTTATCGTTCTAAGGAGGTAACTGCTTAGTTATTGTGAATTGGGAACGGCACACACATATGAAGAGGTACAAAATCAGAATTAATCTGATGCATTGCACCTAGTCCATTATGAAATAAAATGTGTCGTTAGTTAAAATCAAGTAAAAAACTATGGATATTCTGTTGCTTCAGAGCAATTCCACTTTATTGGATAACAGATTTATTTTTTGCATTTATGCATGTAATTGTTAATGAGACATAAGTTCTCCTTTGCCTTTTAGTAATTCTTATTATCAGTAACTTAATCCCAAGTCTAAAAAATTCCATAGTTAGTGGAATTTAACAGTGAGAAGAGTTAAATAATCTGTTTTATAGTGATTGCTCTTTATCTCTTTTAGAAATCAGGTACTATGATGAACTATGTACAGCAATGGCTGAGGAATTGAATGCTGTCATTGTCTCCATTGAGTAAGTAAATCACACTGGTCAAAGAAAGAACTTATGCACATATTTTATTGACTTGCCATTCATTTACAAAACTATATAATTTGGGGAGTCCAGTTTCATACCTCAAACATACTTCACATGCCTCCCTTTCTCTCCACCAAAGCTCCAGTGCCAACCCGCTGTCATTTCACCCTCCTACCCCATTCTTGTCTTCCTGCTCCCTCCTCTTCTAGTCCTCTCAGAGCCTGAGAGGCTTATTTTTTGTCTTTCTGTAATTCTCATATTTTGCAAGTGCATGAAATCATCCTGTAATTGTCTTTCTCTTTCTGACGTGTTTCATTTAGCATAAGCACTTTGAGATCCATCCATATTGTCACAAAAAGGCAATATTTCATTTTTTAATAACTAGTAGTATTTCATGGAGTGTGTGTGTGTGTATATATATATATATGTATATATACACACACACACATATATATACATGCATATATATAATTTCTTTATACAGTTGTCTTACAGTGGGCATTTAGCTTGGTGCCATGTCTTGGTTATTTTGAATAATGCTGCTGTGAACATGGAGGTATTCATTTAAAAAATATTAATTTTTTAAGTTAAATTTAATTTCTTTACATCATTCTTCATTTTGTGCATTTTTTTAAAGATTTATTTATTTATTTGTACAGACCTGGGGTACAGGCCAGAGATGCGGAGGGTGAGAGGGTTCACCAGAGACAGTGGGGAGCAGACCAGGCAGATCGACGAAGTATACTGCTGAGGGGAGCAGCGGGCGGGTCAAGAGAGGTCTGCCAGGCTATGTGGATCTCCTCCGGGGCAGGCGGGGATCGAACTCATGCAGAAGCAGCTTTAGATTCTCACCAGTGCTGTGCTTTAACCTGCTGCGCCACCAGGGAGGGCCGCATTTTTTTTTTTTTTTTTTTTTTTTTACCTCAGTTGTAATCCCCCTGGGCTTCCCACCACCAATTCACCCATGACCATCACCACAGTTCAGTGTGCTCTTCCCACTCCAGTTCTGATCCCTATCTTCCTACCACCCCCATAAAATGTCTCTGGTTTATAGTTCTTCATTGTTTTCATTTTTACTCTACTACCTTTGTTTGTCTTCTTTTTTTTTTCTCCCTGATCCCTTATTCTCCACTATGAGTGAAACCATCTGGTATTTTTCTTTTTTCTTTCTGGTTTACTTCATGAAACTATAAAATATCTTGAAGAAAAGGTAAGCGAAACTCTGCATGACATACACCTCAATATTACCTTTAAAGATACATCACCTAAAACAATGATAGCGAAGGGAAGGATAAATAGCTGAAACTACATCAAGTTAAAGAGCTTCTGTACAACACGAGAGACATTGCACAAAACAAAGAGACACCCCACTGATTGGGAGAAAATATTTGCACACAATACTAATGACAAAGGACTGATCACAAAGGTACACAGAGAGCTGATTAAATTCAACAGAAATAAAGTGAACAACCCCATCAAAAAATGGGCCAAAGAGCTACAAAGACATTATTCCAAAGGAGAAATGCAGATGACCAGCAGGCATATTAAAAAAAAATTACATCACTTGTAATGAGGAAAATGCAAATTAAAACCATAATGAGATACCATCTCACACCACTGAGAATAGCACATATTAAAACAACTAGCAACAACAAATGTTGGCAAGGATGTAGAGAAAAAGGAACTCTCCTGCACTGCTGGTGGGAGTCCAAGCTGATAACAACCACTAGGAATGCTGTTTGGAGGTTTCTCAAAAGGCTAAAAATAGAGAGTTTCCATTTGACCCAGCAACAGCAATCCCACCCCTAGGTATCTACCCAAAGGACACAAAAACATTAATTCAAAAGGACACCCGCACCCCCATGTTTATTGCAAATGTCCAAAATAGAATCAACCCAAATGTCCAAAAGTAGAAGACTGGATTTAAAAAGATGTACATATATACAATGGAATATTAATCAGCAATCAAAAAGGGTACACTCATGCCTTTTCCAGCAATATAGATGGAGCTGGAAGGGATCATATTAATGTTTTAATATTCCTCAGCTAAATATCTTTAAGTGGCATTGCTAGATAATATAGTATTTCTATTTTCAGGTTTCTAAGAGATTTCCATATCTTTTTCCATAGAGGCTGTAACAATTTACACCCCTACCATTAGCAAATGAATGTTTCTTGGAAAAAAATAATAAGTGATCCTAGATAACCATCTAGTTACTTTATTTTACAAAGTATAAAAGAAAAGTCCAAAAAAGGTGAAATGATTCCCCCAAGTCACACAAAGTGGTGTCAGATATAAATTAAAATTTGTTGACCTGACTTTATAATACCTCAAATTATCTTTTTTATTTTATTTTTTGGAACTTCTGGGAAAGGAATTAACTGAAATAGAAAGAAATACATAATTAGTTATTTGCAGCCTACTGTTTGAGTGCTACCTTTTTTAAAATCTAAAAACCAATAGCATTTTAAGAGAATTTCTCCTACAACCAACAGTTTTAAAATGTATTCTCCTGGAGTCAAGTTCAGAACTCAGACCTTGTAAATAGTAACCTGTTCATCAAATTTCGGTTGAGGTAGTTATTATTATAATAATTGTTAGTAGTAGTAATATTAATGTCTTGAGTTGTTTCTATTCATGTTATATTAGCCATTCTTTTTCTGGAAAAATCAGAAGAATATAAATAATACTTTTAACAACTGTGGTGCTAGTGATAATATGGAAGTCACATACCTGTTCTGGGCAAATAACATGCAGGCACTGTTGCATGCATTATCTCTGTCAGCTTTTGTTCAAGTATTATTTTTCTGGCAATTCCTTCTGTGACACCCCTGTTTAAAACCTACAATCGGCTTTTTGTCTGCGATATTTTTTTCCCAAAATTCTCATACTACTTGATAAATCATGGACTACAAGGTATTATTTTATTGTTCCATGAAGGCAGAGACTTGAGGGATTTTTATTTTGTACTAGCTGATCATTAGTGCCTGGAAGCACCCTTGGTTGGGCATTCAATAAATACTCATGGGATGAATGACTAGTCTCACTTTATTCTCATATAAAATCTCTGAGATAAATATTCTGATATCTTGCTCATAGATGAGGAAATAGAAACCCAAGAAGTTTAGCAATTAGCATGAGTCACATAGCTAGAATCAGGGGGGGAGTTGAAGCTAGTCCAGTTGCTCCTGAGGCTTCTATGCCAGTATCGAAGGAAACTAATAATGCTGAGTGACAGGGTTATGGCAATATCAGCTATTTTCATTAACTCAAGATTGTGAAGCGCTCCCCTCCTCTCTTCTCTACCAACTGCTCTTCCATTCATGACTCATCTCTTCCTTACCCTAATCCACATCATAAACCTAAGAGAATCCTATAGTGACACTCCTTTGGACGGATAAGTCTCCTGAGTTAGCTAGGCACCTCCATCCCTGTGAACCATACATAGCCTTAGATTCCTACAGCCTTATGGGCTGCTTTGGCCCCTCCTTAGCAGGTTTGATCCCAGACAACACTGAACAACTTCCCTGGGCCCTCAGCTTCCCACATCACCAAGAGGCCACAGTGTAGTTTTCTAATGCAATCTTGTCATATAATTAGTTGCATAGTCTGGCCCATGCAGATGGCCACAGTAAAGCAAGGCTATTTAAGCACTGAGCCCCATTATGTAGCAAGGCCCTGTGGTTCGGTGGTGAGAAAACCATTCCCTGGTTTCCTTAGTCATGTTAGTGACTCACAGACCTGAGCAAAGGAGAAAAGTTGGGTTTGTTTCACCTGATGCCATGAGGATTCTCCACACAGATCCAAGGATTCAATAGAACATTTGCCAACATGCCTAAATCCTGAGGCATATGTCAGCTTTTGTATCAAGTAAAATAGGACTTTTTAGACTTAAAAAGTCTAAATTTATCATAAAACACATACAGGTGAATACAATATCTTTAAAAAGAAGTCTTAGAAAGAACCAGAGAAGTGTCTGCTTTCATCTTAACCTTTCCTTGTGCCTAATCTATACAATGTAGCATCTTGAAGTCTCACAAGGAAGGCATTACTCATAGCTATAAGACCTCAGGCAAGTCATTTAGTGTTTTTGTACAAAACAGGGTTAGGATCTTTCCTGTGAACTACTGGGAGCAGAAATCTTAACTTCTTTCCCTTGAGTTCCCCATACCAGTACAAGACTTAGAACATGCATGATAAGCAAATATACTTTGATTTGGGTTAATGACTTCAAAGTTGTCTTGAGAATTAGTTTAGACAACTGAGATGAAAGTGTTGGAATACTCTAAAGTACTAGACAAGTATGGAGAATTAGTGCTCTCATCTAGAGAACAGAACGACCTAATTTACAGATTTGTTTATGTTTGTTTGGAACTCACAGTGCTTTTATTTGCAGAAATAGAAACCTCAGTGGTTATAATCCAGGCCAAACCACAGAATAACTAACCTGTGCTCTAGTTGACACTTAGCCAACATCATATGATTATGATGTGTCTCTTAGAAAGTATGTTCAGATGTCTACCTTGGAAACATATTTCTTTACACCATTTATATTTTACTTTTTCCCATAAATATATATTTAATAACTATTGTGTGCCAGTTACCATGCTAAAATCCGGTGACATAACAGTATAAGACACCACTAATTTCTGCTCTCAGGTAGTTCACAATTTAACTACAAAAACACACCTTGTAAAAGTAAGGTTAAGAGTCACAAGTGATATGAAGTGATATGAAGTACTAATAGAGATATTTAATAGAGATATTTAATAGATAAGACCTTATCTAGTTTGCAGTGTCACAAAAGGTGCCTTTAAAGAAATGATGTTTGATTTGAGACCCTACAGATGATCAGCCTCTAGTTAGACAAGTGAGTGGAAATGGAAACCCAAAGTATAATAGAAGGGTGGGGGGTAGGAGCCCAGCGAGGGGAAAGCCAGAGAGCAGTAAGGGAATAGAATATGAAAGAAAACAGATAGCCAGACTTTGTGGGAAT